AATCTAAAACTTGTGGAAATACATATAACTTAAAAATAAATAACGTTGAATAAATAATTCGCAAAACAAAATGATGTGAAAATTGGCTAGCTAAATGGATGCTGTAGAAATACTAAATGTTCAAAAAAGAGAAGTTTCCAACTTTTTTTTGAATGTTTTWATATTCTGCTCACATCTGATGTTAYCAGGCAGGTTATTCCAGAGATAAGACGCAGTAAAGCTAAAACTTCGGCCTCCAAAATGTTGACTTTTGGACCTTCTGTATCATCAGAAAGTTCTTATCATCGGCTCTAGTTCTTTTGTTACTACGTCGGTGTATAAGTTCAGTTAGATAAGCAGGGACAGAGTTGCTTACACATTTAAACTTTAGAACAAGAATCTTATATTCAATTCGTTTCTTTATAGGTAGCCATTGAAGGTATTTCAATACTGGGCTAATATGTAAGTACTTAATTTTATTTGATATTTATCTTGCCGCCGCCTTCTGTACCCGGACAATGGACTGTAGAGTACTGTTTGGTAAGCCATTCAGAAACGTACGTCTGTGTACACAACATAGGGATCCCGCTTGATATCAAAGCAAAAATACTCGCAAATGCACAAAAACATCACTTTGGGGTAAATTCAATACCAGCAACAGAAAAATATTTCGTTATGTATCTATCTTATGCATTTTTTGTGGATCTGGCAGTATTCTTCAAGAATTAAGGTGTGGGTTTTTTAGCGAACAATCGTATATTTTTACTTTCTATGAAAAGCAGTTTAGTTCGACAAATTAAAGATTTCTCTCAAAAGTTTTACTATTTCTATAGAAAATTTATTTTAATGCCTGATGAAATACAAAACGGAGAACATATATATTAAAAAATATTCGCCATTTCTTATTGAGCTTATAAATCTTCAAGAATTTGGTTGCTTTTAACCAACTGTTGATAGTTTAAGTACTTGAAAAAGCAGTTTCATTCGCCTCCTAGCTTATAGCGGGTGCTATTGGTATACCAAAGATGACTTTTATTCGATAGTCTTAATATTTTTATGCTTAGATAATCTATTTAAATAATGAATGAAATATAAAAAAGAATGCATATTTTGCATTAATAAACTGAATATTAACTTTACTTTTCGAAAACTAGCTTTTGTCGTATGTGAATTATATCTTATTCACACATGAAAACCGATTAAAAATGGTAAAATTGAATCTCAAAATCTAATAAGCTTAGTTTTTAAGCTTCTCGAAGAATAGTTAAGGTATATGAAAGGAATGAAAATTATTTTCATGAAGCGATTCTCGTTTGCTCTTTGTCTCGAGTCATTTTACCACAAGRCATTTTGTCATAAGACATTTGGTCTCGTTTGTCCTCCGACATTTTGACTCGACTTTTAGTTGTTTTGCTTTTGGTCGTTTGACAAATCGCCTGAAGACAAAATGTCGGAGGCCAAACGGAAAAACATCAAAAGCGAAAGTCTTTCATGACAAAATGCGGGACAACTAWGCATCAAAAATGAAAGCGATTTGTGGCAAAGGAACAAAATGCATTATGACAAAATTATTCAAGACAAAGAGCAAACGAGAATCGCTTCCAAGAAAGCCAAATGCGGTGATGAGAGAGGAAATTGATCAAAAAACAAACTCACTTTGTAATATGGCCCTAAATCACTTTGACTGTTAAACTTTTGACTTTCTTTACTTTGACTTTTTTATGTCCGCTCTCGGCCACCGTAATTGGGAGCTCCGCTTTTAGGCAGCGCGCCAAAATTTATATATTGTCTATGAAAGCGACATGATGAACTTTGAGCTGAAATAGCGGTTGTCTCAAAGTCAAAATATCGCGCATGCGCAGAATAACCGTATGCATGCTTCATTAACCAAGAAATCCCTTGGTGTAGTGATTAAAAGCTAAGAGGGTCGCCTTTCCTCAAGCTCATGTTAAAATTAATCAAGATTGTGAACACATTTTYAATATATATGCACCATTATCTCTTGGCATCAGATATAGACAAAACCCAAGAAAGCCCGTGGTGTAATGATTGACAGCTGAGAGAGTCATGTCTTCGTGCTAGAAAAACAAAACCGAAATTGTGAACAAATATTGATAAAGATTGGAGACAAAATGCCAGTCTTTCGTGTTCAAATTTTCATATTTGACGTTTGTAATAATACCTATGACAATGGTGCCACTTTCTCATTGGTAGACACCGACATAGTTGAAAACCTGCCAAATAAACTTGACATTTCATAATAAAGGTCTTCAAGATTCATTGTTCAGTGTTGACCTAAGTTCAGTAACATCATAAGCTTCACTCAGTAGTTCAAGTCTTTGTCTTTTCGAATATTTCATAACTTACTTAAAACGAAATGGTTTGACCGACTTGAACTGGCTGTTTTCTGGTTTCCTCGTATTTACTCCATTTCCAGGAACGCGGGACACTTAATATAAATTACTTTACTGAACGAGTCCATTGAATAAGGTAAGTTTGATAAATACATACACAACGTCCTTAAGAAACCGAGTCATATTTTTCCCGCTCTTATTTTCTATTAYTTTTTACTATCATAAGTTATTTCGTTTTAAATTCTAAATTGATTCATTCTTTTCCTAATAAGAACATGCGTAATAAGTAAATTACTTTTCCTCACATTCTTTCTCTGTTTCATGCCTGCTAGAGAAATCGCTTTCAGTGCTTACAAAGGAATCGGATAAGCTAGTTCAAAAGCAGAACCACTATAGGAGGGGATATGGTACATTGCACCCTCTTCCCCTTTCGGCATGATCAAACACTTCCCAAACATAGTAAAAGTRAAATAAAATAATAAAACTAGTACTGAGAAAATACAATGAAATAGAAAATGATACATAAAACGATGGTCTAGCATCCAAAAGCTAGAATAACCCAATAGTTATACGTAATCGTAAATTAAATGCGTGTGTTGTTTAGGTACGTTCCGGCATTTCTTTGCTAGCCATGATTAAAAAAACAGACATGATYTAATGTAGTTGACTACTTTTTAACATTCGATTTGAGCCCACGATTTACGCGCGCTGAAAAATCGCTGAATAATCTTCACGAAGAACCATACACGTTTTAAACTTCAAGAGGGCAGAACCCTCCAATTTTTGCACGGGACTCGGGACCTGTTATTTTCCAGAATATATAGCTCTTATTAACCGAGTGCGAGGTCCGTACCTTAAGTTATGGACCGAGTTTTTTTCCACTGCCTTATGGCCCAAGCGCGTAGCGCGCGGGCCATAAAAAAGTGGAAAAAAACGAGGATCCATAACTTACGGTACGGACCGAGCAAACGAGGTTAATAAGATATTTATTATATGGCAAGRCATAGAGATTAAAAAGAGGCGAAGCAGCCTTCCGCTTGTTTTCCTGCCTTTTATTGAGGAAAAAACTCAAAAAAACTGTCTCCAGAAATGAATGAGAAGCTTTGATAAATTACGGCTCGCTGAACATGGATAGTTTTCGTCAATTTTCAACGTTTTGACTGTTTGAAGCAGGCCGCCATATGCACAATGTCTGAAGTCATGAAGACGGCACACTTTCGACTCAATTAAAAAAGGTACTGCCAACTCTCCTGTCTAAAAATGCATTCAAATTCAAGTGGGGGTGAAATATTACTGAAATATGGAAATACTTCAAGATGGATGAGCCTAGAAAACTGCTTAAAACGTTTACCAAAGAAACTACTGGCTTCTTCACCCGATCGATTCAGATAAGTTCAAACTGGACGATGTTAGCTCACTGAAATAACAAATTTACGCTAATTCTACTTGTAAACCTATCTTTATTTCATTTACTGAATTAGCCGCTGTTCACCACCCTTTAGTTCGTAGTTTGACTTAGTTTTAGCTTTAGCATAGTTAGTTTTTCTAGTTTTTTCTAGTCGTACAAAATCGCTCAACTAGCTATAGTGCCGTGTAGAGCCTTGATCGAAAGAGTTTCGCTTGTATGAAAGAGTTGTCGCTTGTTTGATAAGTTTTACATTAAATGCCAGTGACTTTCAGTTATCTTTAATTATTTATTGAAGGTTTCCCGACGATTTTCATTCAGAAATATATATTTTTTGATAAAGATTTGAATGTTTTAAAAGATCATAAGTACGTACACTCAGTGAACCATTTCATTTTTCGGTCCGTACCGTAAGTTATGGACCGCAAATAGACCAATCATAGCGCATGAAATTACCTTGCCATATAATAACAGGTAATATCCCATTATTTTTCTAAGTTTAAGACAATTCTGTTTATTAGAACAATCTAAGAAATAGCTTTTGTTTGTTTTGTGCTCAATTTTTACGATAACTTGCACACCGTAGAACCTGAACAAAAAAGTTTTTCCATATTTGTCTACAATAGTTTATTAAAAAAACTTTTATCATATTTTATAAATATAGTGTAAGTTACATGTTCGAAAAAAATTTACTCATGTTTTTTCCTTAGTTTCGGTCTTATGATTTTTTTTGTACAGAGCTTGATTTTCGCTATTTGTCTTCCAAAATTGTACAAACGCATGCCATTCCGGAGTGAGTATCTCAAAAACAAGCATTTTTGAAATCAGCATTAAATTTCAGGTTGAAAAAGTTTCAATTTTCAATTTTGTGTTTATTATCTAAGTACCAAAGTAGTCAGCCACCTTAAATCAATGTAATGTTGTCGGAGGGCAATGGTTTGCTCTTTTATTTCAATTTTTAAACCAATGAAAACATGAACGAAAGTTCGAATTAAAAAATTTTCCTAGATTGGGCCATTAAATTGCAGCATATTAGTTTATATCCGCCCTACGAAAAATTTACATCTCATTTAGTTATAAAAATGAATGATGTTACGTTTCTTGTTACAGATTTCCTTAAAGTATGTTTGGCTGTATATTTGACATGTGATTACGTAGTCACAGCTGTACTGCTTGTGTACGTGGCTATTAAAAGCATGCCGGGAATCAACCAATCAGACGCAACAATTATGAATTGCACTTCAAAGGATGGCTGGGAAGCATATTTACAAGAAACCAACACAGGATTCTGGGTACTGAAGATAATAATCGCTATGGTGACCGTCATTGGCAATGGCCTCGTAATCTTTCTCATTGTAACAAGAAAGAAACTCCATACAACAGATAACTGGTTTATATTATCTCTAGGCCTGTCAGACCTGCTTATTGGTATTTATATAACACCGTCAGAGCTGATTTGTAAATTTTTTTTGGCATGTATTAAGCAACCTGACGTCAGGTCATTTGTACCTAATTTTCTGATCATTAGCTCGATCTGTAATCTATGTGCTTTGACAGTTGATCGTTACGTAGCTATTCTACATCCATTGAGGTATGTTGTGCTGATGACGTCAAGACGTGTGAAGCAGCTTGTGTTTCTTGCATGGTTCTTGCCTCTAATCATAGCTGGAGCGAGTCTCATACTTGATATGAGTCAGTACAAAAACACCGTGGGCTCATATTTGATCGTATTCAACATTGTCCTAGTTTCTCTCATTCCTTCTTTAGCACTAACAATTGTTTACTTGCGTATTTACATTGTAGTCCTAAACCAACGAAAAATGACCAAGAGCCAACTGACAATAAACATGTCAGGCCAGCCAGAGGACAACGAAAGAAAGTCTCGTAAACGGTTAGAGAGATCACGTGATCGCTCCTCCATACGCGTTTTGGGGATTGTCATCACGTTTTTTGTACTTTGCTGGCAACCTTCAACATACAGAGCAATCTGTGAGCATTTCAAAGTGTGTCACGTGACACTCGCAGTAGTGCAAACGTCACGCATTCTTATCTTGCTGAATTCTTGTGTCAATTTTACGGTTTATGCTTTACTCAAAAGAGATATTCGCAAGGAATTCCTGGCTAAATGGAAAACGACCATTCAATATTACAGAGAAAGAAATTCTTCGATCAGTACTCGGTCTGTTTCCAGCACTTTGAGCACATTTTCAACATCGCTGAGATACTTGGATCAAAAGATAGAACTTGCTGCTTTGAATAATAATGTACAGTGAGAGTACCTGCTCATTTGCTTGGAGCATGGTCAAGCAAGTCAGGCCTGTTGTTTATATGAAATAAGACGCAGTATATATACGAGTTGGGATTCAAACATTAATTGATTCGACTAAAGGAAAACAGCCAGCAGACTTTAGCTTCTTCTGTGTTGTACTTATTACAATAAAAAGCAATGAATCAATATTAAATAATGCTTTCGCACAGCTTGGTTTCTTGTGCAAAAAAAGTCAAATAGACACATTGCATGGATTTCCTAGATAAATTGTTCTGAGGGACAAAACAATAGGCCGTGTTCAGTTCTTATGTAAACAATCAATGGTTTTGTCCCCCAGAACAATTCCTCTCGGGACTCAATGCAATGGGTCTATTTCGATAGATTTAAAAAAATTATTTCATAGCCTTTTTTGGCTATTGTTGTTGCACTTTCTTTTTCTTCTTATATAACACATTTGTTTATGGCAATAAAACCGCTGCCTTGCATAACCTTAACAATGTGCCAAATAACAGAACTGTATGTATGACAAGGAAGAATAAATACGAGTTCGAGAAAAACGAGAAACAGAATGTCGCTTTGTGTTCAGGAAAATATTTGTTAAAATAATAAAATGTTCGCTGCCGTCAATCAAAAATAATCAGTCCGGTACCTTTATGGTCTTGACTGGCAGTGTTTTTCGTGAGCTCGCCACATATCTGCATGGACTGTTCAGCATAGAAAAAGCTAGTTAAATTTATTTTAATATAAATTWAAAAAAACCCGTTGTAGTTTTTTATGCTGTTTATTTCGTCTTTTGCTAAGAAGTTGCGAACACAAGGATGACGTGTGCTTAGTTAGCATTTACAGTCGTGCCCATTGAGACTCAATAATATTAAAAAGCATACCTTTATTATAGAAAAATAAATACCATGCATGAGCAGATCTAATCCGATAACTGTACCATTTCTTGTCATTTCTTCTCTCAAATTTACTTACACCTAATTGCAAAAACGTTGTCATATAAAAACATGAATTGTTTAGAAATATTTCAAAAAAATTGAAAATTCCCTACATCGATAAAAATCACTGTTTTAGCATATACCAACGAGGTAATACCAAAAAATGTCAGCCTATACCTTCAAAACAGCAAAATAATTACTCCTAATATTGCTCAAAAAAAAAAAAATTAATTTCTATTTTCCAATTTTTTTTATATAACAACGTTTCTGCAATTAGGCGTACCTAAAGAAATATAATAAACGTTTAATAAGATAAACGAAAGACAAATTAAGTTTGTGTGCAATTAGGTGTACCTAAGCAAAAAAATAATCGTTTAATAAGATAAACGAAAAACGAATTATGTTTGTGATCAATCTTGATTTACTTATACATGTGAGTTTTGGATATTTATTTAGCTGAAAAGAGGTTTTAATCATATAGAAATGAAAAGTAAACAAAAAGACATTATTATTAGTAAACATAATTATTCAAACTTAATAACATCTATACCCGTGTTTATATAGCAGTGTACTTAAAGTGCTACTCTGACCAAAAATGGTGTATTTTTCGTATACCTTTGAAAATTAATAAAAATACTCGTCCGAATCCTTTCTACGCACGGATTTAGTGAGGGCGCGCTCATCGTGATGCCGTCAATCCACTCGGTTTTGATAAGCAAAATATCATAAAAACGGTCTTTAATCTCTAATAATTATAATACGAAGTCGGGCCCCCCTTATTATTTCATTTTTCTATAATACCAAAGTTTTTTGGGGCAATTAAAAAACATCTGATTATGGGATCACATCGAAATTACATATTTTGTGTATAACTGAAATYGTTTAATTGTTAAGCGGAGAGGTTTAATCCTCTTTTGTATATCTTTCAGTCATTTTTTCTTTTCTAATATTTTCTCTATTACCATTCATTGATT